ATGGCATTGAAGGAAGGCAGTCCTGGAAAGAATATTTTAGAGATTAGTATGGTGTTGATAGTGATATGTCAAAGAGTATAATTGAAAAGAATGCTACAAATATTAGCATGCAAGAAAAATACGTTGAAAAGGAAATCATAAATGCTGTGGATATGTTAAAAAGGGCAAAACTGCAGGAGTAGGTCTTGTAAATGGAATGACATTAAAATATGGACGTAATTTGCTTAAGAAGTGGCTATGTCATTTGTTTAGAGAAGCCTGCATCTGTGCTGTACTACTGGAAGAAAGCCATTACTGGCAATAGAGAAAGGTAATAAAAGGGTATGCAAGACTAGACAGGGATTACTTTGTTAAATGTAGCTGGGAAAGTATCAGGCAGAATTAAGTCTGAAAGGGTGCAAGTTATAATAGTGATCAATTCTGGGAAGTGTAGTGCAACTTTATCCTGGGCAGGGGGTGTACGGATCAAATTTTGCTCTTTGGCTGCTCATTGAGAAATATATGAAAGTGATAAAATGTATTTACCGTTGTTAATTTAGTGAAAGTGTACGATGAAATAAATGGGCTTGAATTATGGAATGTTGTCCAAAAATGAAGAGATAAAAGTTGGTTGCTGAATGAAATAGTATTTGATGAAAATAAAGCATGAGTAAGAATATATGGAATGCTTAGCAAATGGTTCAGTGTTGAGCAAGGAACAAGAAAAAGATCCATAGGGTGCTCTTGATTGTTTAATGCATTTTTGGATAAATGTATAAAGAACGCTTGTGGTGATGCTAAAGATGTGTTAGTTGGGAATGTGAAAGTGTGTGTATGCAGATGATGCCCTATTGTGGCCTGAGAACTCAAATGTTTTGTAGTGAATGTGAGATAGATGGTGTGATGCAATGAGGAGTATTGATCCGAAATTAATGTATCAAAAATCAAGGAAGTCACATTTGACACGAAAAATTGAGTGAATGATTGCAAGTCATACATAAATGACAAAATATGCTTTGGTGGAATATTTACTAAATATAGGGGAAAGGATGGAAAGATTTGAAGATGTGCAAATGCTGGTAGAAAAGTAATGGGTGATCTGCTGTGAAGAATGTTGTAAAAAAGATCTGTTGTAAAAAAAGTGAAAATAGCTATGAGAATGTGCTTCTACTGCTGTGTTATATGGAAGTGAGAACTGAGTATGTCAAGAGAAACATGAAAGTTGAATGCAGTGGGAAGGAGGTACTTAAGAAATGTGTGTCAAACAAGAAGAGATAGAGTTTAGAAAGAATGGGTGCTGAATCAATGAGGACAGAATACTACAGTGAGTGACTAGTATGAAGAAGGCATGTTGAGATGTCTTTCTCATACAGAGAGCATGAAAAAGTATCAGAAGGCAAAATAAATATATGGAAGAGAGTGAATAAGTTGAGAGAAGGGGAAGACTAAAAATGTTGTGGTTGAATGGAGGAGATGCGATCTTCAGAAAGGGAGAGGTGAAGCTTTTAAAGGACAAAAGGCAATGTATGGATTTAATAGAAACAAGAATGCTGTACAAAGACAGAAATTTATGAAGAGGCATATTGAATGGTGCTGGTGTAAAGTAGATGTAGCTATGTTTCTTTTTCCTTATCTTTCTTTGCCTTACAATTCTTACTCCTTTTCTCTGATTTACTTCGCATTGCTCCAAAGGGCAATAGCATGATGGGTATGTAAAGATAATTTAGTATAATGTAGAAAGGGCCACTTTGAGTGAGTATATTTCATATCATAAGTCATTATTTTTCAGAGCTCATATTTTCAGGTGCCCCTATCTATCCCCAAATATCTTGATAGGACAGTTGCATGGCAGAGACACAAAGTCCCCAATCCTTTCTCAAATTAGTGGATTAGTGCACTCACTTGTGCAATAAACTGGCTATGATTTCTATCAGCTTCTACAGTTGTGTAAAGAGGAAATAATGCTGATGTAGAAAATTCATACATCAAAAAATCATACTTAAGGAGAAGCTTTGTCAAATTTCAGTTGAAGAAAAACATACAATTGAGTGAGGGAGAAGGAAGATATTCTGAATTCTTATTGGATGATGGAGAAGACAAGATTCAGAAAAATCAAATTGATGAAGTGGAATTATCTGAACAACA